TTCTCCCACTAAAACTAAACATGGAAATTTTCACCTTTTAAAATGAGTTTCTATAGTACATAATTCAGTTAGTATGTCTCTGTTTAATTAACTATTAGGTAAATATTTCAACAAATCATAGTCTGCTCATAATAAAATATTCCATTATAGTGATAGGGTCATAATATATTAAAGCAATGTCTTATATTTGGAGATGAAGGCTTTTTCCAGTTTTAGTGTTATTAAATAATGTTGCAATAGCTTATCTTATGTGGATATCTTCATATCCTTGCCTTATTATTTTAAGTTCAGTTAATGTGTATTTCCTCTTATAAAGATTGTGCCAGTCCCTTATGGCTAGATCTGCTTCTGAATTCATATTTCATAAAGATAATAACTTTTCCTTTATACATAGCCTGCTTCTACCTTTTTTCTCCTTTTTGATTAGGGTCTTTGTGCTATTTTATTGATGTTTAAGAGTTTTTCACACGTTTGTCAAGTATTTTGCCACCTATTTTAAAATTATATATCTCAGTTTGTTATTTTTAATACCTTGTTAATGTTTACCACCTAAGTTTTTGTGTAAAATAGTGTGGAAATCTTTTTCTTTGTGGAGCTTGTTTAAGGTATCATAACTAAAACACCCTTCCAACTTCCAAAAGGATGTGATCATTAATTTACATTACTCAGTACTTTGAGTGGCTTAGAGGTTTTATTTCTGCATTATCTTTCATCTCTCTGAATTCTATTTTGATGTCAGCTTTAATGTAGGTGTCACTGGTCACTGTCCCATTTGTTAACCAACCCTTCCTTTTCTCACTGACTTTAAATACCATCTGCATTAGACACAAAATTTTTATATCTGTTTAGATCTGTTTCAAAACATTCCATTTTGTTTTGGTGATCTGTTCATTTCTTCTGCTGCCACTACCACAACATTGCTTCATCTTTATGTTAGTATCTACTATGATTAAGAAGGAGAGAGAGATTAATAGGTGAAGCACCATGGATATTCAGGTCAGTGAAATATTCCATATGATAATCTAATGGTAGATATGTGTTATTATATATTTGTCCAAATTCTTAGGATGGACAACGCTAAGAATGAACTTCCTACAGTCTCCTAGTGATAATGATGTGTCATTGTAGGTTCATCCAAGGTAGCAAATGGACTGCTACCTTGTACGGGGCATATGGGAGCCCTCTGTGTCTCTACTCAATTTTGCTATGAACCTATAATTTCTCTAAAAAGTAAAATCTATTACACAAAAGAAAAACTAGACAATGCCGCTGAAATCATAGAGTTTTTCATTCAAGGGGAAATATAAAGACAAAAAGAAAATTAGAATAGATTGCAATTTAGCAAGTATTGTGATACAAATATTACAAGGTATCAGAACAGGGTTTCTCAAACTCTGCTGAAGGACAGTTTTTTTTTTTTTTAATCCACTATTAGGTCTCGCAACCTCTTTATTATCCTCATCTTTGGAAAGCTATTTGTAAAGTATTCTGTATGTGTTAGTCATTATTTGCTACTGATTTGTAATGGATTCCTTGTTAAAATGAAGATAGTTATTCACTCGACCTACCTTATACTCTGGAGAATAATGTAATTGCCATTATAAAATGCTGTAGTATTCTCTTAAGAGATTGTTGTTCTATAATAGACAGAAGCACATTTCAAACAATGTCTCTCTGATCACAAAATAATCTTAATAGCTCCCTACAAATCCACCATGCAGAGTAGAAGCATGACATTTATAAGAGCTATATCCCATAACCACATACTCTTTTTAACCACTGTTTTCTTCAAATAAGCAAATTTTTTTAAAAAATTTCAAATTTCTTGACTCTGATGAACAGAGAAAGCCCCCTGTGGAATATGAATGATGAGCAGGAGTTAGCTAGGCCCACTCACTCACTAAATGCCTGGCTACAGCATTTGAGGCTGATACACTGTTCAAAATTAACCAGTACAAGTCACAGAATCAAGTGTGAGTGGGCCACGTGGCTGATTAAACCATCTTTCAGCACAAGTAGCGTGAATACTCTGTGTGTAGCAAATCCAATCAGTCACTCAAATCCGACTCCTGGCTGAGTGACCTCCAGAACACCACCACACAGCCACAGTGGGAACATGGCTGGCACCTAGCTCCTGAGACCTCTTCTGCTGCAAATTAAACAAGGAACTTGGATCGGTGACATTAATTTGTCTGAGCCTCCATTCTCTCATCTGTTACCTGAGAGGCCTGACCATTTGATCACAAAGGGCCCTTCCAGATTTCAAAATGGAAAGAGACAGAGATACAGACAGACAGAAAGGATCCCCCTATCTCATGAACTCAGTGCTGTATGATGGTTGATTCATCTATTTACTTATTTAAAAGACACTTGGAAGCATAAGTCCATCCCCATACTACTCATGGTCCCTAAATGGGAATGGAAATGGGAAAAACAGGCTCCCCCTATCCACCATGCCCCCTTCTCACTGTGAGTCTAGAATTCAGGAAACTTGAGGAAGTCATAGAAGACATGGATAGATAGAGCTGGCATTGCCACACTTAATATATTTATTTAGAACTAGGTTCTCAGCCTCAGCAGTATTGGTTATATTCATTGTGGGGAGCTGGCTGGAAGGAACACTGTTAAGTTGGCTAGCACTCTCTCTGCCCATAACGAACAAAGTGCCAACAGTATCTTCTCCCAATCACTTGTGATAATCAAAAAACATTTCCAGATTTGGCTAAACATCCTGTGGGGACAATCTCACTTTGGTTGAGAAGCCCTCACTTAGAATCACCAAAAAGCCAGGCCTGTGCATGATGCTGAGTAAACAAAGAGGAGAAAGATGCAGGCCTAGCCTTGCAGAGTTTAGTGAGGCTTCTCTAACTAGAGTCTGCAACAGAGTCACTGCAGGCCTGGCTGAGGCTCAGCTCTTGAGCCCTCCTTACAGTTTCTCATTCAGCAGGTCTGGGAGCCCTGGAGGGCTTGCTTACACCTCCGAGTTCTGGGGTTTTGCTGGATGTGTCATCCCCCAGGACCACACTTTGAGAACCACTGAGCCATGGCTTCATCTTAACAGGTGGTGCCTGTTACAGCTGCTGCTAGGGATCTGATACTAACTCATCATTTTTAGATTTAGAAATTAGGCCCTCAATATACTGCCCAGCCTACGGACAACATGAAAAGTCATAGGAAGAGAAATGAGTGAAGAATTCCATGAGTGAGAACAATGACAACAGCTGCTTGGCTTTATAAGTTGATTTTAGCTTCCTTCTGAATTAGCAGATTAATAGTGAATGGTCTAATCTAGGAATCTAAGCATTACTTCATTTTCACAGTCTCCATGGATTCTAAGCTCTAAATCATTACAAACTTTCACAACCTACTTACTTATAACAGGGACATTTCTGTGTACAAGACGACGAGGCAGGTGACTCACAGAGATCTCAAGGTGCACAGATGGACTCCAGCTTCACTTTATTTCCATTCAGGTCCCCTTCCCTTGGTCACCCTGACCCTGTCTCTGCAGCATCCTTCATGTGATGGCAATGTCACAGACCACCTTTGCCCTTTCCATGTCCAGTACTCTGTACAAAATCTTCATTTCATCAGAGGACTGAAGGCTGCAATATCCGCTTTCTGTGGTGACACTACTAAATACTGTATTTTCTTTGAAAAGTCACACACCCTCAGGAGGAAGTGGGTGTGGTATTAAAGCAGCACAGTGAGGAGGGGAGTGTTGTGCTACTGGTGTACCCAGCAGGGACAGCTCATTTAGTCATTTCTTGTCCTGTCTCTGACACATTTAACTGTGTTAACTGGCCATATCACTTCATTTGTAGGATAAAAGGGCAAGAAAGTGGAGCCCGGGGTCTTAAAACCTCTTTCCTTGATCCCCTCTAGCAGGAGATTGCTTCTCCATCCTGGGGTCCTGTGGCTTGGGTGGAGTAGGAACCATGTCTCACCAATGTGGTTGGTGGGTTTAGCAAATGCTTATTGACTTATGGCAAGAAGTAAATGTGTATGTGACTTAATCTATTTGACCAGTAATTGTGGTTTATTCTGAGCCATGTCTGATTATCCAGGGAGAAAGGTACCATTATATTTTTATTAGGGAAAACTTCTAAGGATATTCTGGGATCATAGTGGCTACCTTTCCCACCAAACACTGCCATAGTCATAAGCATTTTCCATGGATTAATTCATTGAATCTTCACAACATAGACATAGACCCAATTCTTCAGAGTCCCTTCTGAAGTGGGTGAATCATATTCCTCATTTTACAGATATGGGAATATAGACACAAAGAGATTAAGTAGTTTGTCTGAGACTATTTGGTTGGTAAATGATAGAGTTGGTTCTTATGACCTTGGCAGTCTCATTTACAAACTGGAGTGTCTCCTTAACTCATTCCTGGGTTCCTATGCCCTTTCTCACACTGCCAAACAAAGATCAGAGGAAAATGGAGCCCATGCCCAGGGACATTGGCTTTAGCTTCCCAGTCAAGGTGACCTTTGACCAGAATGCCCTAGCCCAGGTCTGAATTTGACATCCCTGGTTCAGGGGAGTGCTTATCCTCGTGGAGCACCATGTGGCAGGAAGCAGAGTTTCCCTAGTGCAGTGGGAAGACAACAAAGCACCCATGTATATTTAGAGCTCCTGGTTTGAGAAGATAGTGGAATCACAGGGAAGATTGTCTTTGCAAAGGAAATTTTGACACAGAGAGCCATAAACTTAATTAGCTCCTTGTACAAGGCAGCATCTTAATATTCCATAGACTGTGGAGATCCAAGTCTTCCTTGAGATTTCTTGAAATTTGAAGGGTGTTTTTATCCCCTGGAGAATCCATTCTCCATCTCCCACTGACACTCTCACCACAACACCAAATCAGCCTAGACATGAATCTCAGCATAGCGTCGGTTTCTACAGCAACAATTTGCTCACTCCATCATCTTCCCTAATTCAGTCTAAAATATCTCTTTCAATAAGCAAAAAATAAAATTTCTAGGTGCGAGAAATGCGTTGGGTTTCAGTTTAATCGACGGCACCTCATTTTTGTCTGTAAAATAATAATGCGTCTTGCAGTTAATGGAGACTTTGGTTCAGAGTTGGTTAAGAAATGGCAAAGGTGAGTTCAATAATACTTCTGAGAGTACTTATAGTATGTTGTACAGATTTTTCTAGCTTACAACGTTTTCTCATACTTCATCTCCTTAAATCCTCAATATTATACCAGTAGGTAAACATTATTGTCTTTATACTGTGGATGGGTAAATTTAAGATCAGTGATGTTGGGTGACATGCTGTGGTCCTAAGAAGCAGGCTTGTAGGTACTTAAAATTTCACAAGGATTTCACCCCAGGGCAGCTGCTGTGGGAGAGCTTAGGTGTTGAAGGGAGGAGTTGGGGGAGGAGAAAGTCCAAACCTCTGCCCCATGGGGTAGAGTTTCTCCAACATGATGCTTCACAGCCTCCATTAGGGCTGCCTCGAGGATACCAAACTGAGAAATGATCTTCTGCCTGCAAATCCAGGGGAAAAGAAGCTGGTGAGCATTTTCTTCTTCATGTTCATGGAGTTAAAGCAAGTATATCTGGAGCCTCCAAGTCTACATTATCCATTTTCACGTCTGACTCTTCTCAGATGATCAGAGAACCTGCTGGGTGACTCATTTCAAGATGAAAATGAGTTGCAACATAGTTACCTTGACCATTAGAGGTGCCATTACCTTACAACCCACCCAGGGCACAAAGGCAACATCAACACCAAGGGAAGAATAACCCTATTGGGTTAGAGGTTTTCATGTGTTTTATTATAATAATTATTATTGTTACTGCTTTTGCCATGTTTGGGCAATCCCCACTCTTTACTGCAAACACACACACATACAGTCAGCTCTCAAGTTTCTTGAATCATTTTAAAGTCGATAGTTGGAACTCTGAAGGTATGGAAATATTGTTAAACATGATGGGTTTCCAAGGCAGGCAGCAATCACCTAGCATGTGTGTGGCAGTTCAGCTGTAATGTAGGGGTGAAGCTTAAAGGATAGCTTAGCCCTCTTTTAAATGCTGTTTCTGCCAGGCGCAGTGGCACACACCTGCAATCTCAGTTACTCAGGAGGTTGAGTAACTGGTCTTAAGTTCACAGCCAGCCTAAGGTAACTTCACAAGACTCTTGTCTCAAAATAAAAAGGACTAGAAATCCATAGCTCAGTGGTAGAGAGCCCCTGGCTTCAATTCCCTCTATTGTAAAAATAAAAATAAGAAAAAAAAACAAATAAACTCTGATTCTTTGAATTTATGAACTGTGTGGTATATATGATGAGGCTGTATCATATATGTTTCAAGAGTCTGCCCACTGTAGCTGGTAGGCCCCTCACAGGAAGAGGAGGGGGCAGGTGGGCATATGAGATGCAGGGCCTTGAGGTCTGGTCTCTCCATGAGACTCTCAGACCCTCCATCCACCCCTCACCCACTGCCCCTCTTCCTTCTTCTCCATATCAGTAGTAATGGTACCATTACCAATGGAAGGGGACAAAAGGTAACACCTGAGATAAAGGACATATTATTCTCATATGGCTTTGCTGAGAACCCTGCCTCAAAAGAGGAGTCCCTTCACATGTATAGGAGGTCTGTCCATACCTTCCCCAAATGACCTGATTAACTCTATAAATTTTGAAAGGAAACAAGTAAAGTGAAAACTAGGTAAGAAAAGGGCATTGCAGACACTCAAGAATATTCCTGAGAATCCTAAATCCAGACAGCAGGCATCAAGGTGCATAACATTTATTGAGAGTTTACTATGTAAAGCCCCATTCTAAACACATTTTCTATATTTTGAGATTTATTTTACTTTGACACTATTTTTTAAGAGATCTTGTTCATGATTGCAGGCAGGAGGGTAGTGCCAACTCTGTCATTGAGTCCCCTTCACAGCTCATTCCAATAGATGAGGGAATGTTAGGCTTGGGTTTCTCTTGTCATTGTGGACTGACTAGAAGAGTTATTTTAAAATATTATCTGCAATTCCTATACATTATTTTAATTCACTTGGAGACCATATTTGTGATAAGAGGCTTATGTTTAACCTGACTCTTAATTATACTGCTTCATAAAAGTCTTAGCCACAGGACAAAACACTTCCCAATTATGTGGTTTTCCACTATGTACCATCTTTTTTATGTGCATATTGGGGGACAGTTATTTTTTGCATATGTCACTTCTAACAGCATTAGATCTTTTATACAGCACCCACTTTTGCCTAAGATGCCTTTCTATCTCATCAAGAAATGCACAGGCTATGGGTATAGCTTAATTTGCCAAAATTTTTCTGAGTTCATATTTTGTTTGCTGCAGATGAAGAGAATTCTAGATTGTTTCAGCTGATGAGAGTATGTAGAACTTCTGTTTCTCTCTAGTTCTATGGAATTTGTCCCCATCAGGTTTAGGTATGTGGACAACTATAACGTCACTCTGAAAGTATCTGGGCATTTGACGAGTGTAGGGTGAGTCAGCCTAGGTAAGTAGGCAGATCAGTGCAGAATGAGATACAGACCCAAATCCTTGGTTCAGTTCAATCCATGTGGCCTGAGGCGTGCTGCCAGGCAGTTATGCTCAATCATGTGCCTGTATCAAAGCAAAGACAAATGAGGCCACACTTAAAGGTGAAAACATTGAGCTCATAAGAGTAAAGATCTTTTGTAAATTGCAAGTTCATGTTATACTGTTATTTTGCAGCCAAAGCTTGGATGAGTGGATGGACAGACCTGGTATCCATCATGATAAGTGCTGCATTGAGATGGCTATATTCGAGGGCAGTGAGCACTCCACAGGAGATATATGCAGGGGTTTATGGGAGCTTGGTAGCAAAGCACAGAGGAGAGTCACATAATTCAGCCCAGATATGCCCCTAAAAGACTATTTCTCCTGTCCTCCTGCTCTATTTGTTACATGTCAATAAAAAGACAGCCCATTAGAAAATAGATCAGAGTTATAATACTAATAACTAACATTTATTGAGAGTTTACTATGTGAAGCCCCATTCTAAACATCTTATATATGTTTGCCCATTTAATCCTCAGAGCCCTTTGAGACCAGTAGTAGTAATAGAAGCACTTTCCAAATGAGAAAACAGCCTTGGTGAGGTTAAATAACTCCAGCAGTTGAGTTCATGAAGGCATCGATCTTCTGCTTTTAACAAGCACTGGGATCTTTCCTTTGCTTTCTCTACAACTATCTGCGGCTTAATTTGACCATTGCATATCCTTGCAAGAAAAACAAATGCATGAGATCAAAAGATGAGATACATTTGCTTTTGAAAATGAACTCCCTTAACAAAAATACATTGAATGTCTACCATGTAATCAGATAGAGGAACCAGCTCCATAGGCACATAGATGATTAATTCATAGTCCCTGTTCTTGGAATCCACAGACTTGGCAAGGAAGACAGACATGAACCAGTAAATCTAAGAAGGCATTCTAGGGAGATTTGATAATTTAGCCATAGGCATGCTCTCTTTCCCCATCCCAGAAACAACGGAATAAATGTCTAAAGGAATGTGATAGTAGAAGCTATCTTTTACCGTACATAGGAATAAGGGAAGTAAGGCACCCACTGGCACTCACTCAGAGGGGATTTTGCCATGTACATTAGATGAGAACAGGTTTTTAACAAGTCCCCACATGTGATAGCTGAGAGCAGGAGTCACAGGCTCAGAGAAGACGTCACGGGATTTATCCCATTCAGACTTTAGAAATGGCAATGGAAAGGCCAATCGATGTGGTAGATGTTGTCTAGCCATGGGAGCCGGAGCACCAAGTAAATTTCCCAAGATATGTTAGTGGAAAGGAGATGGAGGAGGAGAAGGGAAGAAGAAGAGGTTCAAAAAGAGATCAAGACTGAGCAGAAACTTGAAGAAGGAGGAAGGTGAAGGCAGCAGGGGATGAAGGATGGAATGCAATGGGAAGACATGCTAGGGAGGAGTACAATTGTACTAAAGATCTAAAGCTCTGAAAAACCAAGACTGGACACAGAGAGAGGTAGGGTGGAGGGCAGGTCAGATGCTGCAGTACATCAATCACAAGTTGATGCAGAGTTGGGAGATCAAGTAGTTGGTTGTGGAGCAGGAAGGAAAGGGTGAAGTCAAAACAGAGGACTGGCCTGAGTCATGACACCAGTCGTTGAGCTGGCAAAGACAAAAAAAAAAAAAGGAGGTTGAAAGGGAAAATAATGGGTTCCTCGTAGGGCCTGGTAGATATACATGTGGACATACGTGGAGACAACAGGAGAGAATTGGCCATGTCCAGGAAAGAACTGAATGTGTACTTTTATTGCTCAGATGAGAGGTACACAGACGGACTGGGGACCCGGCCCCTGCTTGGATAGAAACAGCCTGGTCAATTCATCATCTCAGGCACACATTTTTTGTAAAGCAGGAGACTACCACAGATAGAAGGCAAAGATGAGATTAATGAAGTTTTCAGTCCATAAAGGACAGGTTCACAGCCTAATTCCTGAAGCAGGCTATTTCAGCACTTATATTTATGTATACGAGGAAGTCTCCTTTCTATTTTAACACCCAGGGAAATCCCCCCTGTCCCTACCATCAGTTCTGAGTCCAGAGAAGCAGCCTACAAAATTCTTTCATGCTAATTTCAAACTTGTATGTTTATGACACATCTTCCTGGCTCTTGGCATATATGTCTACACAAATGTCAATCTATCTACTAGACGTCAAAACTCATGTCAGACTGTCACTGTGAACAGACTTTTAGAAAGAGACTCCACTTGGCTATCAAGTAGAAGCATGCATTTGGTAAATTGTCAAAATGCTCGTGGTTAGAATATAGTTCAGGTAGATTAGGTGAAACACAAGTGATTCTTCATTGCTGGGTAAATAAGAAATCATTGCTATCTAAGCAAGACCTTTGGGAGAAGTCTCATTACAACTCCATTCCATACTATAATAAAAACCCTGGAAACTTGAGAGGTCTCCGTCTATTCCTGAGACAGAGAGTGTTGAGCTGCTATTGCCAGGAATCCAACCTGAAAATAGCTGAGTAACGGGTCACCAGAGGTCAGACTGGTTGCAACTCAGGGTGAATCAACAGTCCCTGCAGACTCAAATCAGAATTAATTACTAACCTTTACCTGTACTAAGAAATCTTTGGAAGTTCATGCATAGTTTATACTCCCATAACTGAGGAGAGTTCTCAGGGATTTTTTTCTGATTAGTGAAGAAACAGAGATTGATCTGGAAGACTCATGTGGCCCAGGGCAAAGAGAATCTCAAAGAAGTCATCTCATTGAACTTTCAGCTGAAAACCTAGTTCCAGAGGGCAGAAGGCTCCCTAAAGACAAGGCCAGAAGATGTCTAGCTGCAATTCAACAGCATGGTCTAACAGAAAATGTTTCTGAGATTAAGAACATCCAACAATGATGTTTACACAAACACCTCCTTTGGCAATCCTCCAAGATTCTAAGAAAACTCTGCAGGAAATTAAGGCTGCATTAATATCCCT